CCTTCAAAACCGACCACTTTTCCTAATTATAATTGTCTTGGACGAATTTTTCACCTAACTTTTACCTTCTTAAAAATTTGAATAATAATTTTCCTACGTCAATCATGAGTACCTATACTCTGGAAAATTATCAGACCCTTAAGAACCCCTCGGAAATATTTTTATTTAATTAAAATGAATGTTCGAACAATTTCTAAAAATAGAAATACATCTTCAAAATCCCCAAATTAAATTACAGCCATCTCCTTGACCTACCTCAATTTATAAAATTACTAAACCTAGGAAAAACCACCCATAGAGACTCGAAACAATTTAAAACATCTAAAATAAGTTTCTGCAAATTCTAAGCAGCTTTAGTGACCATCTGTTGCTAAAAACTCAGAATTGCACCCTCACGAAAATCTGTGACCATCCAAAATTTGTCAATCCGCGGTTGTAACTCTTAGTACGTAATCGTCAATCCAGCCGATCACGTATTAAGGTCGAACCTAAACCTAAAGGTCAGAGTGTTACATTTCCTCCACCCTTATGAAAATTTCGTCCCCAAAATTTGAACGGCATAGCAATCACTTGTACGATTTAACGTTGTATTCGAAGGAACGATGCTAGTTGGGGTAAAACATCTCCCTCTCCCTTAAGAAATTTCGACCTCAAAATTGTAGGTTGAACTGGGTTGCTAGCTATCGTGAAACCGGACTGAACCCCTAGGTCTTATTATGGAAAGGAAACCGAGAAATGGAAACTAAAAAGAGAACTAAAAGTGACAGTACACAGAAGTTCACCAACTACCGATCTAAACACCAATAAACAACTCTGGGTACTTCTCTCTCATGCTACTCTCTGTCTCCCAAGTCACAGCCTCGCTGCCCTGGTTTCTCCATCCCACCTTTACCATGGCAATCTTCTTCCTCCTCAACTCATTGATCACATGCTCTGGGTTGGACCAATACGCCCTTAGCATGCTGACGTGGAAGATGTCGTGAATCCTAGATTAGGCTAGGAGGTAAGGCTAGTCGATAGGCTAAGGGTCCAATGCGCTCCAACACCTCATATGGGCCGATATACCTTGGACTAAGCTTCCCCTTCTTACCAAATCTCATCACTCCCTTCCAAGGGGACACCCTTAGGAATACCATATCACCCACTTTTTCATAGCTTCGCGGGTTCCCTGGCCTCTCAGCATTACTCTTCTGCCGGTCCTGAGACGCCTTCAAGTTCTGGTGAATCACCTCTACCTTCTCCATTTCCTTTTGTATCATCTCTGGACCCTCTAGCTTTCGCACGCCCTCTGCATCCCAGTACAATGGTGTACGACACTTCCTCCCATATAATACCTGATATGGAGCTGCTTGTATCGAGCTGTGATACTGGTTGTTGTAAGCAAACTCCATTAGAGGCAAATGCTCATCCCAAGCTCCTTCCATGGTTAAGACACACGCCCTCAGCAGGTCCTCCAGTGTCTGAATCATCCTCTCTGACTGCCCATCTGTCTGGGGGTGGTATGCGGTAGAGAAGTGAACTTTAGTGCACATTGCCCTTTGAAGACTCACCCAGAATCGTGTCGTGAAGCTAGGGTCGCGATTAAACACGATACTAAGTGGAACTCCATGTAATCTCACTATCTCCCTCACATACAACCTAGCTAGCTCCTCTAGCCCTGGCTTGAACTTGATGGGTATAAAATGAGCCACCTTCGAGAAGCGATCCACAATCACCCATACTCCATCATTTCCCCTCGGGGTCCTTGGTAACCCATACACAAAATCCATGGTGATCTTCTCCCAAGTCCATCGCGGGATCTCCAACGGTAGGTGCTCAATGACTGGAGCTTGATGTTCAGCCTTTATCATTTGACACTCCAAGCATTGGTACATGTGTAGCTACCTCCTTGTTCAACCCTGGCCACCAGAAATGCTCCTTGAGGGTACGATACATCTTAGTAGCCCTAGGGTGCATCGCATAAGGTGCATTGTCGACATCTAGGACACACAACCTTCCTTGATACATTAGTACCCCATATACCAGTTCAAATTTTGTGTCCTTCCCTTCTAACACTGGTTTCTTGTACTTCTCTAATTCCAAATCTTCACTCTCCTTCTCCTTGATTCGTTCCTGCAGCATAGGACGAATTTTCAAAGTTGCTAACAACTTTGTCCCTTCCTCTAGCTCCAATTCCACGTTCATGGCCCTCAAAGAGACCAACTCCGGTAAAGGGCTCTCCCTCTTCCTGCTCAAGGCGTCAGCCACCACATTTGCCTTTCCCGGATGGTACTTAATGGTGCAGTCATAATCGCTCAACAGCTCCATCCACCTTCTCTGCCTCATGTTCAACTCCTTCTGATCAGTCAGGTGTTGGAGGATCTTGTGATCCGTGAAGATGGTGAACGTCTCGCCGTAGAGATAGTGTCTCCATAACTTTAAGGCAAAGAACACTGCGGCCAACTCTAGGTCATGGGTTGGGTAGTTCACCTCATGGGGTCGTAGCTGCCTCGAGGCATAGGCGATCACCTTCTTATCCTGCATTAGTACACAACCCAAGCCTTGGTAGGAAGCATCGCTATAGATGGAATACTCCCCACCGCTGGTCGGTAGTGCCAACACCAGTGCAGAGGTCAGCTTCTCCTTCAGAAACTCAAATGCCGTTTGTCGTCCCAAACAAATGCCTTCCCCTTCTGCAATAGTTGTATCATGGGTCGTGCAATGCTGGAGAACCCTTCCACAAACCTCCTGTAGCACCCAGCTAAACCCAGAAAACTCTGCACTTCGGAAACGTTCTTGGGTGGAGCCCAGTTTGTTACAGCTTCAATCTTCTTGGGATCCACTTCAACTCCCCGTCCCGAAATCATGTGACCCAAGAACAAGACCTCCTCCAACCAAAAGTCACACTTCGAGAACTTGGCATATAGCTTCTCCTATTTCAATTTCTGCAAAACCACTCTAAGGTGCTCTTCGTGCTCTTCCTTACTTCTCGAGTAGATGAGTATGTCATCGATGAAGACGATGACAAACTTGTCCAAGTACTCATGAAGAACCCGGTTCATTAGTGCCATAAAAGCTGCCGGTGCATTGGTCAGTCCGAACGACATGACCAAGAATTCGTAGTGGCCGTACCTAGTGCGAAAATCTGTCTTGGGTACTGAACCATCTGCCACTCTCAACTGATGATACCCTGACCGCAGATCGACCTTCGCGAACACCCTTGCTCATGTAGTTGGTCGAAGAGATCATCTATACTTGGCAAAGGATAGCGGTTCTTGATGGTAGCCTTGTTTAGCTTCCTATAGTCAATGCACAGTCTCATACTGCCATCCTTCTTCTTCACGAATAACACTGATGCTCCTCATGGTGATACACTAGGGCGTATGAACCCCTTCTCCAACAGCTCCTGCAACTGATCCTTCAACTCCTTTAACTCCACTGGTGTCATATGGTAAGGAGGGATAGATATCGGTGTCGTGCCAGGAATCACTTCAATATCGAATTCCACCTCCCGCTGTGGCGGTAGCCCAGGAAGATCTTCGGGAAATACCTCGGGGTATTCCCTTACGACAGGTACAATGAGAATGCCTTAACCGCGGAGATTAAGAACCCCGAAATAAGCTTCTTAGTCCCTTTGAACAAAGCAGTGCCCTTTCCTTCTACCTTCAGGCTAACCTCTTTCTTGTAGCAGTCCACCTTCACTCTATGCTTTGACAGCCAATCCATACCCAAGATGACACCAAACTCGTCGAAGGGTAGTAGAATTAGGTTTGCCTCGAATTCGTGCCCCGCCACGGTGATAGGACAATCCAGAATGACTGAGTCCACTATAAGGGTATCCCGCACTGGATTCCTGACCCCTAAATTCTGCCCCAACCTCACAAATGGGACTCCTAGGGTTCTAGCAAGCTTGGTAGAAATGAAAGAGTGCGTGGAACCGGAATCAAATAATACAAAAGCGGGTTGGTGGTAAAGCGAGATCATACCAGTCACCACCTCAGGTGCAGCGTCAGCTTCTTCTCTCCTCATGGCGAACACTCTTGGTTGCCCAGATGCTTGAGATCCTTGCCCTCGATCTCGCTCATTGCGGTTGAACCGCCCAACATTTCCTCCTTGCTGGTGATACGACCGGTTTGGGTGGTTGCCAAACTACTGTCCGGTCTGAGTTCTTCCTCCTCCGCCCCAGACTGATTGTTCGGATTGGGCTCTCCCCAACCCTCCTCTCCTAGGGAAATCTCTGGTATAGTGGCCTGGCTCGTTCTTAGTGATAGCAGATGCCTCCCAGATGCACCTTACACTCTCCCGGGTGAGTTCTCCCACACTAGTTGCATGGGTCCTGAGGAATGTAGGTCGGCCCTGATCTGGTTGAGCCGGCTGGCTCTGGGTGGCCCCATAGTAGCTCTGGGATGGTCTCCTTCTCTGCTGACTTGGATGTCCTGGCCCCTCAGACAGGCTAGCAGCCTTTCTTTTGTTGCCTTCATGTTGCATTCCCTTTTCATGCAGAGCTATGTCCGCCCTCTCCAACCGAAGAGCTGCTTGATAAATCTCTTCCCTGTTGTTCCAATTCAGTATACTCAGCTGGCGCCGAAAACCAGGCTTCAGACTCTCCAGGTAATGGGTGCATTGAGCTGCTATATCCTGAAATTGAGGCACTCCATAGGTAAGTAGCTTGTCAAACCTGACCGTGTAATCAGTCACACTCTGCCTGCCTTCACTACCCCACTTCTGCCTGATCAGCAGGAATTCCCTCTTATTCCCGATCCAGTAGGCCTCCAGTATGAAGTGGTCTTTCAATAGCTGCACAAACTCTGGCCAAGTGATGGCCGGTGCATCCTCTCGACTAGCCGGCTAGGTAGTCCACCAGTTGTATGCACGTCCTGCAACAAGGACACTGTCAGCAGTACTCTGTCCTCGCCATCAGCTCTCATCTCGACCAGCGTACGAGTGACCTTAGCTAGCCACTGCTCTACTTTCATGGGGTCCGTTGAACGCTCCCCCTTAAAATCTTCCACCCTTCTCTTCGGAAACCTACGTAGTCTGGTGGACGTCTCTTTAGAAGTGGCACCACTGGTGTGGGGTTCGGGCCAATACTTGCACTGTAAACACACAGGGTCTCGTTAGAACTCTGTTATTTCTTCCTTAATATGGTTTAGAGTACTGGAGATTCTAAATTCTTTAAAAATAATCCTTGACTTGTTTGGCCATACTTTGACTTGAAATCTTTAAAAACAAAGCCTTTAAAAACTGAGACCGATATTCCAGTATTTCTTTGGAACCAAGAAACAGAGGAAGACCGGCTCTGATACCAAAATGAAACATCCCGCTACTTTGAACTTGGAAAAAGACATTTCTACCCCGGGGTATAATTAAATATCTCAAATAACACAACTTTAAATAAAATACCAAACTCAAATATCTTAATATCTCAAATCGAAGCCCTAAACACGTGGGTAAAACTCAAATCGTCCAAAACAAATGAATCTCCAGTCTTTAACTCCTAACCATAACGTCTTAATAACTTGAAAAACTTCTTAAAAGCTTACTCTGACACCTGGTGGTGTTGAACTCCTCTAGCTTGCTGATCACAGACTGGCTGGTTAGGATTTCCTCCTCTACGATCCGGTGAGTGAGTTGGGGTCAGTCTACGACCTTACGATTTAAATCTCTAGTATTTCTTACTTAAGAACTTAACTTAAACTGGTGGATGATACTTCCAGTCTTTAAAATTTTATTCTTAAAACTCAAATCTCAGCTTAAATATTTGACTGACACTGGGATCCCTCACTAGATAGTCTGGTTGCCAACTCAAACGTATGAGAAGCCCTCAGGATTTCCTTAAACTTAAACTTATCGTGGAAGGCTTTTCTTCCATGATTCTCAAGAGCATAACTGCTGCTCATCTTAAAATATCTAAAGAGCGTAACTGCTGCTCATCTTAAATGTCTCAAGAGCATAACTACTGCTCTGTCTGAAAATCTCAAATGGCAACGGACTGGCGCTAGTGACTAAAAACACTTAAAACGACTTCACCTTCTTGAAGGCAAGTTACTTCTTAAAAAGAACTTGTTTCTTAAACTTTAACAATAACTTATAAACGTAAAGATTTAAAGTAAATAATAACTCATGCACATTCACTTCAAACATAGCTCAACCAAAATTACATATCATCAACCATAAGCACAATCAACCAACGACAATCACTTCATCAAAATACTTAAAGCTCATAATACTTGAAAGAACACGTAAGGCGTAGAATTTACCCCTTTTACATTCACCTTGAAAAGATGACTCGTCGATTCCTTACTCGAAGAAATCCCTCCTAGCCGATTCACCTAACTAGTACCTTCTTAAAAAATTGAATAATAATTTTCCTATATCAATCATGAGTACCTATACCCTGGAAAATTATCAGACCGTTAAAAACCCCTCGAAAATATTTTTATTTAATTAAAACGAATGTTCGAACAATTTCTAAAAATAGAAATACATCTTCACAATCCCCAAATTAAATTATAGCCATCTCCTAACCTCCCTCAATTTATAAAATTATTAAACCCAACCCATAGAGACTCGAAACAATTTAAAACATCTAAAATAAGTTTCAACAAATTCTCAGCAGCTTTAGTGACCACCCAAAATCTGTCACTAAAGGCCTGAACGTTTGTTGCTAAAAACTCAGAATTGCACCCTCACGAAAAATCTCCAAATTAATCGACCTAACTCAAAGGAATCGAGTTCCCTTACCTCTAGCACGTGCCTATGCCTAGGTTGGATGACCCGGGACGTTGATTTATTTGTTGATCGAACCCTCAAACGTCACCGCTAATAAAATACGAGTTTCGGATTAGACTATTGATGAATCAAGTTTAGAAATCGCGAAAGGGTTCGTGATCCTTACCTAGTACCACGAAAGGGATGAGATTGGGATCGGGAGCCGGCTGCGACTCCTTCTTCTTTTCCTCTCGTCCGCGCCCGCGTTGAGAAGCAGGGACAACGACGGGGAATTGCTCTGGGAAAACAACGAGAGGGTCGGGGGAATTATTGCTCGGCAGGTTTATTTCTCATGGGCAATTAATTGGAGAGGGTTTGGGGAAAAGCTGGAGGGGGAATTAAGGGGTCGTTTGGAAGTTGAGATTCTTCAAATATGTGTATTTGATGAATACATCTATTGTAAATACAAAGATTGTAAGAATTAGATGATTGGAAGAATGTCTTGTTTGGTTGTAGCCATTCAAAATTTTTAAAGAAATGAAAAAATCAATTTATGAGCTAAAAGTGAAACAAATTAAAGCCAACAATCTCAAAGGAAGAATCTCACCTTTTTGTTGAGATTTAAAATGAGTGATTGTGGGTGATATGAGATTTGAGGGCCCACCTCAAATGCATGTATTGAATAAAGTTTTGGAACAAAAAAACGATGGATTCTCCAGAATACATGAATTCAGAGAATCATTCATCTAGAATCATAACTTCCAAACGACCCCTAAAGGGTTTTTTTTGGGTTAGTTAAAGTGGAGGTAGGCCTCTTGGCTGCCCCACTAATTTGTACAATTTTTTTTATAGTTATTATTATTATTATTATTATCAATCCGCGGTTGTAACTCTTAGTACGTAATCGTCAATCCAACCGATCACGTATTAAAGTCGAACCTAAACCTAAAGGTCGGAGTGTTACACAAACCCTAACCTTCTTCTCCCCTTGGGTTGTGTTTCTCTCACTAGAATTTCGAAGAAGGCTTTTCTCACAAAAGTGGGCTCTCCCCTCTCTCCACCTTTCAGCTCATCTTTTAAACCAGAGATGAACTGAGTTCACGGCCAACTGCCTTTGTTCACGGTCTTAGTGACTGTGAACTCACCTTGCGTCAGTAACCTTCACTTTGGCTTTGGACGCCTCGTGATTCACGGTCAACTCCTCTTCTTCATGGTCATGCAAGACCGTGAACTACCTTGGTTAGCCGTGAACTTGCTCTTTTTCACCTCTTTTCCCGGTTTTCGATCCTTTTCGCCAATCTTTCGACTCCGAGGCTGGTTTCACCTGTTAAATCCTGAAACACACTCAAACACGAAGAACCTCGCGTAAAAACCAACTTTTAAGGAGTGAATTTGGCACAAACACCTAGGTAAAACGAGGGCAAAACATGTGCAATTAGGCCCAAATCAGAAATCAACCAAAGCAACCTGCCAACCTTAACTCTGTCCGACTTGCGTGTCTAGTTTTGATTAGCCCATTCAAGGTGAGCATCCCATGACATTTGAATTGGAATAATAATCACTTTTCTCAACATAGTTGACTGCACAAATTTTCTCTACGAGTAGTCAACAAACAAATGATCCCTTGTTTCCTCACCGTCAGGGCACAACACACAACTCCTGTCAACATCAATCCTCCACTGCACAAGCTTATCTTTTGTGGTGATTTTGTCTTGTATGATGAGCCAAACGAGGAAGCTATGCTTCAGTATATATGGCTTTCCCCACACACCTCCACTCCCATCAACACTAGGGAAAGTAGGTCTAATTGAATTCTACACAGTTTTAACAGATTAACGGGCAAGGTTCTGACCTTCCCATGCCAATGCAGCTCTAGCTCCAAACAGGAAAGGTTGAGCCTTACTCCTGCATTTCAGTATATGACGCCAAATCCAGGATCCGGAAGATGTCTCATACAGAGTTCAGATGGATTGATGCTTAATCTTATATTTCAGTATCCACGCCACCCATAGAGACCATGCCTCTACCAGTAGGTTCCAGAGATGATGTATAACACATGCTTTGTTCCATGTTTTGAAGTCCCTTATGCCTAGACCGCCACGATTTAACTCATTTAAATTTTCTCTACAAATTTTTAAAATTATATTTGTGTATGTGTTTTTTTTTTACAAATGCCACTTGTGTTACTAAGTAAATACAGATAGTCAGTTTACTATCTATATCAAGATAGCCTAACAATAAAGCTGTCGCGATAGTGAAGGCTTGTGAGTTGCAGATCCCATGTTCGATCCAAGTGAGGCCCGTTGGTGTTCTCGGAGGTATGAGGCTACTAGGGGCGAAGCCCTATTAGCGTCGAAATTGATTTTAGGTGGCCCCCAAGTTTAGTAGGTCACGTTGTCACAAAGTGGCATATGGAGCAGAGGTTCTTGGGTAATCAGAAAACAAATAAAAAATACATATATTCAGTTTATACAATCGACCGCAACAAACTGCAGAAATCAAATCTTATGAAAATAGAGGACATAGTGCTGGAAGTTTGGTATCGGTATTTGATATATACTGAAACCGTACCAATTTTGTCTATATTTGGTTTTTCGAATACACGTATTATTTTTTTGGGATTGATATTGAAACTCAAGTGTTATTCGGTATTAGGGATTACGGGATTGAGATCAGTGTATACCAAAATACTGATCAATATCGAAATATAAGCTAGTGTTTATTTTATCTCTCTCAACTAGACTCTCTCATCACTACTATAAGACCCTCAACCGTGAAGAGTTCCATTTAATTATACAAAACTCATTCCCTCACTATTTGACAACTCATTCTGAGCTTTTGTAGTATGTTTATGGGTTGCTTTATCTTCTCATGTTTCAGTTTATTGCGTTTGCTCATGTGCTTCTTAGGCACCACTTTTTTCTACTGTGTTATTAATATACTTGAGATTTTTTCCCTATTTGTTCTATACAAGTATAGACACCACACCATTGTTTTTATATATTTTAAGATGATTTGTGGAGCTAGTATTTGCATTGCTATATTTGATTTGAAACTTTGAAAGAAATTGGTTTGGTATTTGGTATATATCGATACTGAACAAAATTTTAGGGATTGGTATTGAGATGCCGAATTAATTTTGGGATTGAGATTGGGATTGAAATTGAGTTTAGGGCACTATTTGGTATTCGGTATTTTGACATTTGGTATTGAATACCAATACCGTACCGGTTCCACCCCTAAGAGGACAACATAGAAAGAGCTTGTTAGCCACACTATGGGTTGCCCTATTGTTATCCCTAACAACAGACTGAAATCTCCTTTCTTTATATGTTGACTTGCTCTAAACTACCATCACAATCGAAGGTCAAGCATAACCAACAACCAGTATAGTGGAAGCAAGAAATAAAATTATTGAACTCTAGGATCTCTAAATGTATCGTTACTTCAACTTTGGTTTGTTATCTAGCCAAACAAGATTTGGAGATAAAGAAACTAACCTAACTACACTAGTTAGATTACAAGGTTGGTGCTCACTTAGGCATGGATCCTCATAATCCCTTCATTGATGTGTTGACAACTAGCTCCCACAATTGGGTAAAACCCAATACGACACTATGGATTCCATCACACTCGTTGATAGACCAACAATGACGAATTGGTAGTGCTCTATTCAACATAGGGAGATATTCTTTCTCCTAAGTCAAAAATCCTCAAATTGAGAGATGAGATCAAGATCCAACAATTGCATGATAAATACTCAAATCAACAGATAATAGAGAACTACAATCATAGGGTTTGTCACAAGCATCATCAATCAATCCAAAATTTAGAATTAGGGTTCATCAACCCAAATGAAGATAACTAATTCATAGAGAGGAGAGAGACTACAATATAAGCTCTAAGATCTTCAATCTTTCTAGACTTGATCTTCAATCAATCTCTCTCTCTCTCTCTCTCTCTCTCTAGAATCACCCATTGGGTGTTTTTGAGTGAAAAAAACCAAACTCTCCTCCTTCAAAACCCATTGCGGCACAAAGCTCATGCTTTTGATGTAAATATCACGGCCTCCAGGCAGTGAACTTTGCAATGGTCAATGAAACACACTCTCACCCCCCCCCCCCCAAACATGAGAATTGCAATAAACCCTTGATCTTGCACAAACTCCAATTTTTGTTCATTTTGACCTCCAAATGCCCTAAAACTTGTTCCTAAACTTCCATCATCTACTAAGAACTGAAATATGACCAAAGAAACAAAACCCAACGTAAAATAGGTAGAGGAACGCTAAACACCAGGTCAAACGATTAAGAAATGAAGGTTAAAAAATGTATAAAAAGGGTTGAATCATATGTCATGTGAAGATGATATATCTTCTAAAAAATAACAACATCCTTTGCATCCTAGATTACACCTAGTTAATTGTGTCAATGGCAACTCTGATATCCCCTTTGAATATGATTTTGGTCAAGACCATCAGAGAGCACCACCTCATTGCATTTGGCAGAGCCACCAATTCCACCAACGTTGGCTCGACCATGCCTAATAGTGATAATCTTGAGCAGTAACCGCGAAACCACCTCCATCTACAATCACCACCCCAACTAACAAATGTTATCCAATCATAACAGCCCCATCAAAAGAAACATGTCCAGCCTCTGTCGCAGTGCCCACCCTGATAGTTGAAGGAACAACGCGTATGTTACTTTCACCATCCGCCAGATGACCCTACTGTTACGCAAACTATTCCTCCAATTGTAAAAAATATTGTCGAACTAGTATTGGAAAACAATGCTGAATGTCATCATACACGACCTTCTGGTGAGACTTCCAGATCTGCCAAAGCAACACAACTAGCCTCATAATATGCTCGGCGAGGAATCCTGTTCCAACAATTAACGTAGAAACAACAAAAAAATTCCTTCTATGATACCTGAGTGAGATGCCTGGGGACCTATAGTTTTCAAAAGAGAGATTACCACGGGACAATATAAAAATAAATGCTCTAGTGTCTCGAGAGGTGCCCGACATAGAGGATAGCGCTCCAAGCACTTAATGCCTTTACCCCACAGAGCATCTGTCATGGGCAAGACCTAATGCATGACTTGCCACATGAATAATTTCAACTTAGGATGGATTGAAATATCCCAAATGTTCTTCCAAGATCGGACTACAAACCAAGGAACTTATGCCTTCCATCCAGACAAGCATAATATCCCATCAATGAGCTAACTGGCACCAGATTTTACTATGAACTCCCCGTCACATCCTCATTCCAGAATAACTGATCCTCTCTTGGTTCACAATGAAAAGGGAT